AACAGTCACCTACAAAGGAGTTCCCATCAGACTGTTAGCAGATTTCTCAAAAGACACCTTACAGGCAAGAAGGGGCTGGAAAGAAGTATTCCAAGTCATGAAAGGCAAGGACTTACATTCAAGATTACTCTATCCAGCAAAGCTTTCATTTAGAATGGAAGGACAGATAAAGTGCTTCTCAGATAAGGTCAAGTTCAAGGAGTTTATCATCACCAAGCCCTTATTATCTGAAATGTTAAAAGGACTTACCCAAGAAAAAGAAGATAAAAAAATATGAACAGTGAAAGGACAGCAAACTCAGTTATTAATATTAACAACCATACCTAAAACAAAAGCAAACTGAATAGACAGCTAGATCAGGAGTGAACCATAGAAATGAAGATCACATGGAGGGTTAGCAACAGGGGAGTGGGAGAAGGAGAAGGGGGAAGAAGGTACAGAAAATAAGTAGCATAGATGGTAGGTAGAAAATAGATGGGGGAGGGCAAGAATAGTATGGGAAATACAGAATCTAAAGAACTTGTGATACATGGACATGAACTAAAGGGGGGGAATGGTGGGGGAGGGGATGTGCAGGGTGGGGGGAAGGAAAGGGGGAAATGGGACAACTGTAGTGGCATAATCAATAAAATATATTAAAAATAAAAATAAAAACAAAACGAAAACTGAGCAGTCTGCCTCCAGAGTGTGTATCATTCAGAACAGTAAATGCAGAGGATTTAGCACTGTTTAAAAATATTATAACTGATAAATAAGCTTAAATCATATAAACATAGGTCTAGTTGTGCAGAGTAACTTGTATTTCAATAGAACACTGTGCTTTGCATATAGTATCAATAACTTTAAAAATTGAAGCCCACAAGGAAAGAAATTATTAGTGATACCAATAGACTGCAAAAGAACTCATTACAGGTTGTTTTCTAGCTCTCCCATAGTACATGTAAAAAAATTTTTAATATGGAAAGCCTGAGTTATATGCAACTGACTTTTCAGAGATATTTTATTATATAGAACAAAATATACCCTTAATTTGTGCAGCTGTCCTTCCACAAAGTAAACTAGAAAGGTAACCTATCTTTTCTGGCCACATAGCAAGCCATTCTTAGGACATGGATTAGTTGTAAATGTATATGGCAGACTTTAATAGAACCATTAAAAAAAGTGAAATTGATGTGTGTTATGGGCTATGTGTGAATTGTGTCTTTCCCACCCCCAATTCACATATTTAAGCCCTAAGCACTAATACCTCAGAATGTGACTACATTTGGATATGGTACCTTTATAAAGATGATGCAGTTAAAATGAGGCTGCCAGGATAGGCCCTTATTTAATCTAACTGTTGTCCTTTTAAGAAGAGAAAATCTGGACATACAAGCACATTGGAAAACAAAAATAAATTAAAAACCAGAGACACCAGATAGGCCCATGCAGAGAGAAAAGGCCATGTGAAGATTCTTTAAGAAAATGATCATTTGTAAGCCAAGGAGAAAGGCCTCACATACCACCAAACCTGCTAACACCTTGATTTTGGACTGACTTCTAGCCTCCAGACTGTGAGAAAATAAATTTCTGTTGTTTAAGCAACCCAGGCATTTTGTTATGACAGGCCTAGAAAAATATGCTAAAAGAAGACAAAAAAATGAAATTATATTAAATGTTTCATTAAAACCAGAGATGGTAGAAAACAAAACCCCAAAAAAGAAGCAGAGAACAAGAAGAGGAATATAAAACAGTAACAGAGTATATATTAATACATGTAACTATATATATATAATCAATATGTATCAATAATCTAATTATATCAATAATTATTTTAAAGGTAATGGTCTAAAAACATCAAAAGCAGAGCTGTCGGAGTGGATTAAAAACCAAGGCCCAAAAAAATATGTTGTCTACAAAATTATATTGGACCCTAATATGAGAAAATGGGTACCAGTGAACTGAAATAATGAGGGAGGAGGTAGAGAATATATAATAATGAAGAAACTTCTTAAGTAAGAAAACTTCTGTTTTACGATCCTTAAGTATTTCCCAAGTACCCAGGATTGTGACTGGAACCTAGTATGTGCTCAACAAATATTTGTTGAATTAACACACGAATTTGAAAATCCAAAAGATAGTCAGGAATCTAATGTGTATGATGTTCCAACCAGTCCATTCAATGTTCCACTGCTGTTGCTCTATGTTTTCTTCAGAGTTTCATGTTTGCATAGCCTGTCTTGTATGGAACTTTTAGGAACAAAGAGAAATTAGAGAAATGTAATGTAGAAAAAAACCTGTTCAGCTCCAGTCTCCCTTTTCATTCTCTCTCCATATTCAGTGTGGAAGAGTGAAGGCCAGAGGCAGGAAAAAGAGACTTTTTTTCCTATATAAATGATGACTCAAAATACTACTGGAGTCCTGGCCGGGTGGCTCAGTTGGTGGGAACACTGTCCCGTACTCCAAAAGGCTGCGGGTTTAATCCCCTGCCAGGGTACATTCTGGAGGCAACCTATCCATGTTTCTCTCTCACATCGATGCCTGTCTGTCTGTCTTTTCCTCCCTCCCTCCCTCTCTCCTTTCTTCTTTGCCTTCCTCTCTCTCTAAGATCAATAAGCATATCATTGGATGAGGACTTAAAAAATAGTACATAAAGCTTGGTAGTTTGTCTTTTTCTTGCAGCAGAGTCCATCCAAATGCCAGTAGAAAAGGGAAGAATATAGGAATTAAAAAAAACAAGCAGTTTCCCTTATCTGGATAATTCATGGGGTTCCAATGTCATATCTACGAGCAAATAGTTATCTAGAATAATGTAAATTGTTTTTGAAATTTTTTCCTTATTAGTTCTTGAACCCTTGAAATATTCTAGAAAATTACATATCCTATTGGCAAAAGTTCTTGTCTTAAAGTCAGTATACCAGAATGGACTGAGAGCTTGCTTGTGCAACCCTAGATTTTTTTAAAAACCATCTTAATTTAAAATCTATATTTGGCTACTAATAATACACAATTAACTCTCCCATTTAAAACAAATAAATACAATGGCATGGCATTGAGTTCTAACTCTGGTTTGTAATTTCAAATGTAAAAGTCGTTTTTACATAGTCTAAAAGGTGTCAGCGGCAGTTTAGATTTTTTTCCAAATACAATTTCTGAAATAAAGCCTGAAATATATTTTGTTTAAACAAATTGTATCTCCTTTACTATGATTATACTGTTAAGAATTTTTGATCTTTCAAACAGTGGATAGCAAAAGTCTTCATTTGCTCTATTTCAATAGAATGTCTTGATATGCAACTTAGATTCGTCTCTAAGTAAGACTGTGTGTAAATAAAGTTAATCTATTTCAGAAAACAAGTTTCTGGGAAGCAGGTCTATGTTATGGTCATCTTTGTCACCTCTTTGGACATGTGATATACATAGCAGCTACTCAAAAATATTTGCTCCATTGAAATATTTCATCAAATAGACAGTTTGTGTGAAGATGGATGCTACTAACCAGAAAAGAACCTCATCTTTTTATTGCATGAAGCTAAATATGTTTACCCAGTTAATAGTTCTAGCTATTGAATACAGAGTACTTGAAAGATATACAATCACATTAAAAATTAATTCTACAATTTAGGTTCGTAACTAATCAGAATGACCCTCCCTAGATAACTAATTTTTTTTCAGTTTAAAGGCTATAAAATTAATTTCTAAAATGGCTTCATGCATTTTTCAAAAGAAAAAGCACATCTATGAAATTATTCTTTTCTTGTTGAAAAGTTGTCAACTCTGTTAGAACCAGTAATAAAGAAACAATCCTTTCTTGATGTTGGTTGTATTGAGTTGGCTCTGCCTCATGTATTACAACTTTTTCTTAATATATTTGTCTATTTACTTCAATATTTATATTTCTTCCATCAACCTATAGGTCCCATAAGGCAATAAAATGTCTGTTTTCCTCAGAATTGTATACTCAGCAGCTAGCACAAAGTCTTATACACAGTAACACTCACTAAAATTTGTGGAATAAATAAGTACAATTACTTGGAGTCTCATCCTCTCAGGAGTGGCATTTAGGCCTCTCCTCCTATTAACTCAATACATTATTTTTACACTGTCCTTTTTCACACTGATGATAATTTGAGAGACTTACCATAGGAATTAAAGTATCTAAAGTAGGAAGGCATTACTCTTTGGCATTCCTTCCTAAAACTTACCAGGGGTGTCCAAACTTTTGGTGTCCGGGCCACACTGAGAGAAGAGTTGTCTTGGGCCACACATTAAATACATTGTGACATGTAATCACAAAAAAGCCTCATAATGTTTTAAGTGAGTTTACGATTTCATGCTGGCCCACATTCATAGCCATCCTGGGCCACATGTGGCCTGCAGGCCACAGGTTGGACATCCTTGATTTGGACTAACAGTCTCTATAAATACTATAATGCAAGTCTGAGCATAATTTAACAATTAACAAAGAACATCATCATTTCGTATGTGTGATTTGGGCCTGATGTTAATTTTGATGAGTGGTAGAGGTGTCTTAAAACATGGAAACAGGAAGAAATGGAGAAATAGGGTATATTTTTATTACCAAATTTCTGAGTTAACTTAAGTGAGATAAATGAAAGGGAAATATAGTCTTGCCTTACATTTAGGAAGTTATCAAAGAAGTAGAAATTAAGCTTTTAACTACCTTTGTAAATTTTCAGTTTTGATTTTTTAAGCTAAGTCTATATTTAAAGGCCAAATATATGATGTCATAAGATGATTTGACTTGGGTGGTGGGTACACAATGCAATATACAGAACATATATCACAGAAATGTACACTTGAAACCTGTAAAAAAGAGTGTATGGTTTTCATTATTGTCATATTTACACTGAAGAATAGGTAAAACATTAAGAATGTGCTACTACTTGGATACTTCTTTCATTTAGTCATCCATTTAAAGGTGGACTGCTAAGAAAATTCCTGCAACAATGTGACGTCTTCAGTACACGAGGAACATTCACTGCATCATGGAGACATACCCATCTCCCCAGGCATATCCACACCCAGGTCCCCGAATGGCACTTTCTGCCTCCAGACATTTTCTCCTGTTCTTCTCTGAAGATTACATCCTGGGTCTCCTGAGCCTCTGGAGTAGGAAGAAGAAGAGGGCAAAGGAAAAGGGTGACATTTCATATCAACTGTTAAGAAAACTAAAAAATAATTTACTCAGCAACGAAACCCCTATCATGCAACAAAAAACTTAGGATCCTCTCTCTACTACAGTAGATGGATTCTTGTTAGGATCCACATCAGCTAGAATCCACATGGATTCTAACATCAGCGTTGACTGCTCATTTAAAGTCATCTTCATGATTAGCATCTTGATAACATTTGCCAATTTTGTCAGGTTAAAAAAAGTTCATGTTTTAACTAGGAGATTAATTGTGATTGCAGTATAATAGTTTTTCTTAGAAATATTTTTTAAAGTTTCACATTGAAAGTATTTAACTTAGTCTTAGTTTACTATTGTTTTAATGCTGATTTACTCACTGTGCTTTCTTTAGTCTCAGAAATCAGTAATAATTGATTAGTGCTGCACAGTTTAAAGATGCAATCACATGCATTTTCCTATTTTTACCTCAACACTTACAGCAGTGAAGTGATAGAGATATCAATTAAATATAATAATAATAGATAACATTTGTACTCATGGGTGGTTTTGTGACTTTTAAAAAATAGTGCTCTAGTACATATGAAGTTTTCCATTTGGGAAAATAAACCTACACACTGAGGCAAGGGTTACATCAAAACTCTCAGGAGTTTAATATTGTCACTGAATATCAGATATTAATTTCTACTCATTTTCTTGAAATGGTCTTTAATCAAAACTTTAAATATGACATTGCTCCTGTTGACTTAAGATTTCATTAAAAGACACTAATATTGTGACTTTTTGACTACCGCGTTTCCCTTCTCATATTTCTTTATTAGTAAGTTCTTGCATTTTAAATTTTAGGACAGTGATCAGACTGACACTTGACATACTATAAAGTATATAGTTAATCACAATGCCAGTATAATAATGAAACATTTAAAATTGAGCACTTCATTTTTTTAATGGGAAAATAAGTTGTGGTTTTCTCCCTGCAATAGTCCATACACAATAAACACATGTTTAATACTATTTATATTCTACCCTACATAATACAGGTAGGGCAAAATTAGGTTCACTGTTGTTCTTATGGAATGTAATATAACAATTAATAAACAATAATACATGAATAAACTCTATTTTGTGTGTTCAAAACTGTAAACCCTCTTTTGCCCTATCTGTATTATTGTGAGAAAATGGACTTCAATCCAAATAAATGGAGTAAATAAACAACACAATATATTCATGCGAGTAGAATAATACAGAACGAAGATGGAAACAGATTACAAGGTCATCTCCAACTGTTCACGAAGTAATCATGCACCCTGTCATTAAAACCACCTCGGTGTCTTCCTCCCCACGGGGCCCCTCAACACACACACGATTTTTTATTGTAGAAAGTTTGGAACACCCAGGAGAGTATAAATAATGTATATTTATAGATCTTAATTATCTCCAGTAATTAATTCAATCATACAGAGACAACCATTGTTAACATTTTAATGTATATCCTCCCAATTTATTTTATATATGATTATATTTATATTACGCACAATTCACTTTGTATTTGTAAGTTTAGGGTTCTTTTGTGTGTTGTTTTAGTACTTGTTTTTGTCATTACACATCTACTTTTTCCTCTATCATCAAACAGTCCTCTAAAATATGAAAAACATGATTTGGGAAGGTGTGGGAAGATTGTCAAAATACATTCACAGCCAGGTTAAAAATAATTAAGAGGCATCGTCAACTTAAAAATCAATAAATCGCTAAGAAAATTAATATGTATAAGCAATGAATATTCTACTTGGCTAATTAACAAATAAATATATCCATGTCTTTATTAACATATACTTTTTCAAACTTAAGTTACAAAAAATGTATTTTGTTCTTTGCATTACTTAGTAAAATTCTCCTATAAAACATACCTTCCCTCAAAGCTTGATAACATATTCTTCTAGTTCTATTGTGCTTTGGAATAAGTAAATAATATTTCATCAAATAGATTTAGTATAATTTAATCAAGCTCCACTATGGGGCATTTAAGCTATTTACAGTATTTCAATATTATCAGTAAATATATCTTTCAGACCTCTGAACATAAATGTTTTAGTCCTTCAACAAAATCGTGATAAATTCATCATATCCTATTCTGATATATAAAGTCTCATAAATTTTAATTCTTAATTTCTTTCAATTTCAGCTTCCTTACCTCAAAATTATGGGGTTGGATCAGAGTTCTAATCAGCTCTAATTTTAAGTTGGTCCAAAGGTTGTGGGTTATTGTTAAGCTAATAAGTTTCAGTTCTAAAAAGTTTGATTTATACATATAGTAGACCCTTCATTACTGAGTGAAACAATTTGTGAAGTATTAGAAGAAACATGAGATACAATTCATGCCTTTCAAATGAGGAATTCCTCTTTCTGGAATATCAATTTTGCTTCAGATTTTAGGGACAAAGCTTGGGTTTTTTCATTATCAATTTTTAAGATAAAAATGAAGTCTTTGAAAAATTATATTTCTGAGCATGCTGTTTTGAGCTTTGCCCCCCAAGAAGTCAGGATTTATCTTTTACTTTTATTAGGAATGGATGCAAGGGTTTCATTAAGTGAAGAGGAAGAAGACATCAGTTAACTCAAACCATTTAAGAATCGGTATCACATTCTTATACTAAGGTCTTTGAAGTTGTCCTGGGCCTTGAAATCTAAACACACATTTGCTCACTATGCTGCCTCATATGAGAACTTGTCAGGAGGTTAAGATTTGTTCAATTTTACTAATTAAAACCTGTCCCATCTTGCTTTTGTACCATTTTGTGAATCTGCCAGCTTATTTCTATTAGAAACATATGTCCAGTGTTCATATGGCAGGTCTATCCTTTATAAATAGAGCCACAGGGACTATCAATGATTGCATAGTTAATTTGTATTTCTTATTCAATGCTTTAAAATTTAGCATCCAATAGTTGCTTTTGACTTTCACAATGAACCCTACCTTAAATGCTCAACATACATCTTTACATTAAACAGACCATAAGTTTGCTTTTTAAAATAGGTATTATAAAAATGCAGATTTCAAGGATCAAGTAAAAAAAAAAAAAAAAACTGAAGACACCCAGATTTTTTCTATTACAGAAGGGTGGAAAAAATCTGTTATATAAAAATTTGAATCATGGCATCTTAAAACCTGAATGAACTAGAAATCTTCTTTTTCCTACTAATTTTTTTTCACTCCAAAAGTGACATAGTGTTGAAAGGACACCAAACCTTCTGCAAAATGAAGTGTAGTATAGTTGTCTCTTGGTGTGGGCAGGGGATCTGTTCCACTCCCCCACCCCCACAGATACCTAAATCTGCAGATGTTCCTCTTTAGAAAATGGCATAGTATTTGCATATAAGTTATGCATATCTTCCAACATACTTTAAATCATCTCTCGATTAAGTAATTACCTAATACAATGTAAGTACTATGTACATAGTTGTTACACTGTGTTATTTAGAGAGTATGACAATTTATACAAAGAGGGATACCAAAAAACCAGAATTATCTTCTGGAGGATGGGCATCTTGTAGCATAGGCTTCCTCTGCTAGGTGAGTGTTCTAGGAACCCATCTGTATCAGGTACCAGCTGGCATTGTTGTGAGAGGCTGCATTTCGGCTTCACTGAATTTTTTTTTGAAGACTCGGTGTGCCCATTTCATAATGGGTGATTGATTTACAGGGCACCTGCCCACCCTGCGCTGTGTTCAGCAGTTTTTAACGGAAAACAGTATGACACCTGGCCCCACCCTCCCTATTTACCAGATCTCACCCTGAGTAACTTTTTTTTGTTTGTTTTCCTGGATAGAAAAAAGGTCCTCAAAAGGAAATGTTTTGCCAATGTTGGAAGGGGTGAAACAAACAACAAACAAACAAACAGCAGAAGCACTAAAAGGCATTAAAATTGACAAGTTCAGAAACCGTTTTGAGCACTGGAAAAAATGTCTTTATAGGTACATTGCATCAAATGGAGAGTACTTCGAAGGTGACTAAAGTTTAAACGTGCAAGAATAAATATGCAATTTTTTTATAAATAAATTCTGGGTTTTGGGGGGTCTCCCCTCCTACATGTTCAACATACTAGAACTAACCATTCTAGGCCTAATTACATAGTACTCTCAGCAACAATAGTAACTATCCCAAATATTTTCTATCCAAGGTTGGTTGAACCTGTGGCAAATAGAAGGGTCCACCATACACTCCACATGGAAAATCTAAAAAATATTTCAGTACTGTACATCTATTTCCTATGTACTGGTGACAAATAACTTTTCCTTTTTTTTCCTATTTCTTCCTTTAATGCATTAGTCAATTTTTTTAAACTGGTATTTTGAAAACAGCTTCTCAGAGGCCGAAATTTATTACCCCGGGAAAGGAAGTTACCAACAAGGTGGAATGAAGACTCATTCTGCCTGGAGCGTCTCGGACCATCTGCTTACTCCCTACCGCTGGAAAAACAGAGCAAACAAGCTCTCAAAAGGGACTGCTCTAGGGAACTTGCACTCGCAATCAAACCCAGCTCCCCTGGACCTGGCTGGCAACGCTTAATAACAAAGAAAGGAGGTGGGGTGGGGTGGGGGTCCGGTGTGAGGCCGACCTCTAGCTCTGGAAGGAGTGACTTCAGGACCACTTAGCCCTCAGCCCCGAGTGGACTCGAAATTGAAATGTGCAAGACAGAGACCGGAGATAATCTAGCAATAAAAGACCTGCAGCATCTTCTCAGACGCCAAGAAGTAAGATGAAGTCGGAGACAAACCGAGCCACACCGAGCCCGGCGCGCCCCACGCTCGGGCCACCGGAGGGCTGACCCGGAAGTTCTCGGTGGCGGGGGCGGAGGCGGGATTCGCCGCCAAACCGGCGCACACGCGCGCGCTCCCCGCGGAACTCCCGCAGGCCGTGCGGCGCTGTCCCAGAGGCGCGCCCGAGCCGCCGCGGCCGCAGCCAACATGGCTGAGACTAGCGAGGAGGTGGCAGTCTTGGTGCAGCGGGTGGTAAAGGACATCACCAACGCCTTCAGGAGGAACCCGCACATGTGAGTTGCGCGCAGGCGTCGCCGCCGTCTCCGGGGGTCTTCGGGGGCTGATCGGGGCGGGGCCAAGCTTGGAGGCGACCTCCCGCGGCGGCGGGAGGACGGCGGGTCTCGGTCCGCGCGCCCCTCGGCGGAGGGGACCGGAGGAGGTCGCGGCTGCATCACCGTGGATCGCCGCGGGCTCGGAGCCCGGTTTCCTTTATCAGATCGCGCACGCGGTGGAGTCCCTAGAAGTGACCTCGGGAAATCAAAAGAGAGCGAGTCTGCTTCGCTCTTTCCCCCCCGCACCCTCCTTTCCCGGGAGTTCAGGAAACTCGAAAGACTATCCGAGTGTCCACACCCTACATCCGTTCGAGGTACCCGGGCACACACACGGTGTAGGTCTGTATGTGTCGTAAACACAGCTCTCTTCGGGTTCATCCCGGGCGCTGGTAAGAGGGGGTTACTGATCATCTTATCCTCAATGGGCCATAAATCCCTCCAGTTTACTAACGAAGGTAGTTTGAGGCTGCTTTTGACTTTCACCTCGCTTGTCCCAAGATTGTAGGGGGACTCCAGTGAAACGTTGTTTTGAAGGTGACGAGAGGATTCTCAAGAGTATAGCTTTTGTAGACATAGGATGGGTCTGATGTAAAATAGATGAAACCTCTACACTTTTTAGCATTAGCTGATTCATAGTAACAGGGAGCAAGCAATTAACTTTTTTTTTTTTCCGTAATCCAAACGCTGCTTCCCTCTTTAAGTAGAGGAACACAGTACTGAAACACTGTATCTTCTCTCCTTCCTTTCCATTTTACTTGGAGTACTCTGGGAAGATACCAGGAGAAATTATTCTTTTTGCTAATTCTTTGTAACAAGAGAAAAGGAAGCTACTGAAGAGAGATATAGCTACATTTTACAAAAGAGAGAGAAGCAAGATTGTAGCTATTTTCCCATCCCTCGTCCCTCCCCCCACCAAAGAAACTTGGAACCTAGTTTTATATTATTTTCACTTTATCTCTTGTTAATGGAGTTTAATGTTTAAAAAAAAAACCAACTAGAACGCATGAGTTACTCTTTGTCAGCGTTCTAACTCCTTAAGCTTTTCTGCCTAAAAGAAAGGCCAAGCCTATGTATAAATGTTCTTTTCCTTCAAGGTGGTGCTTATAGAAGAATTAAGAAGCCCTCAGATGCCATGCTCCCTTGTGGCACACAATTGGAGACCTGCAACTGTGCCTCATTAAAAACAAAACACTGTGGCCTCAAAACACACCTGCCACCTCTGACAACATCCACTTCCTTTCCCCTGTGACTGCTGCCTTTTTCAAAAAGAGTGTTTGGAATGATTTCCTGGCAGTAACCATAGAGGGTACTGAGCCTTCTAAAGAATGCTTTGATGCCTTGTTTATCACTCTTTCTGTCCCTTTTTCAGAAAGAGAGCTTTAGTGCAAATAAGAGACATCCTCAAAAAAATAAAAACTCATAAAAATGAAGGGCCTAATTCCTCCTCATTGGTGTTATTTTTCTGGAAGAAATTATAGCAGAGGTTAGAAAGAAGTCTAGTAAGTACAATAATCATCTTAGTTTCTCTCCTTTGAGGTAGATTAGCAAAGCATTGGTATTTTATATTTTAAGAAACAGATTGAGTGTTCATTGGCTTGGCAGATTGACACAGTGCTGCTGTTTGGAATGCATCCCAGTTCTTCTGGATCACATTTCTTGAAACTCAAAGGACTTTAATACCTTCCTTAATCATATTTTTTATGGTGAAATCTCATTAATATGCTCTATCAATGCAAAACTTACAATTATTAATAATCATTTGGGTCATTCAGGATTTTGAAGTATGAAATAAGATGGGCATTTGAAATAATGATATATAATATAGGTCTGAAAAATTAAATAGCTTAACTCATTGTTTCATAATAGTCTTCAGCTACATTTACATATTCCCTACAATAATGATATCTTCAATAATATTGCTGTGCACCTTTTACAATTTGGAATTTTCAAAATTGCCCATTCTTCCCCAATCTAGCCCTTTTTTTCCAAGAAAAAGAGACTATATTTTTAGATAAAAAAGGAAAAAACACAATATTTACCTTGAAAGGTAGTACCTAATTTCAGTTTTCAGTATTTAAAAAAGTTTTCATTCTTTACTTTTTGTTTTCCTTTTTTCTCCAAACACGAGATAGATTGCGATTGTATTAGCCAATATCCACTCTATTAAACATACCGACTTTGTAGAGAGATCTATCCAGGAGGAATCAAAGATGTAGTGGTTGAGGTGTGGATTTTGTTAGTGGTAGGTATGGATAAGAGACCTCTCAGCCTCAATTTCCTCTTGATCTAGTGAGGCTCTTGAGAACACAGGAAAATCACCTTACACAGTATCTGGCGCCTAGCTGCTCCTGGGTAAAAATATCAGGCTTAACCTGAATTCCTCCTGTGTTTCTCAGGGACTGTGTGAATGATGGATATGAAACACTTCATGAACTGAAAAATATCATAGGAGTGTTTGTGTGGTTGACTCGAGACTACTATTAGAAAAACAACTGAAAGCCTGACCCAGTGACTGGCATTAGATTAAAGTACAGACTCTGTGCTAAAGTGAAGGACAACTGTTTACAATGGAATTAGGCTCATGTCAAACATCTCCAGCAAGTTATTTTTCATTACTTTTAAATATTTACTTAACTTGCACTATTTACAGGGTGCTGTTGATATTCACAGTATAGCATAAGAAAAAGTATAAAGTACATTTATACTCAAGGCATTCACATAAATATCTGTGATGGTGGAAATGTTCTATACCTATTCTGTCCAGTGTGGTAGCCACTAGCCACATACAGTCATTGAGTGCTTAAAATGCAGTGAATGCAAATGAGGAACTGACTTTTAAATTTTATTTAATCTTAATTGACTTATACATAATGGCCACATGTACCCGCGACCACTGTATTGCACAGTGCAAGTCTAGATAGAGACCTAAGACCTACCTGCAGGAACAATGTGTTAAAACCTGCAAAGTGGTGAAGGAGAAAGGCTGGCTGGACTAGCAGTCTGGTGAGTAAGTGCTTTGTGAGTCTTAGAAGGGAGGCTGGGTGTGTCTTGGCCAAAGCTCTTAGGGTAAGTGGGTTTTGAGCTGAACTTTGAAGGCTAGGTAGGGTTTGTTCTCAGAGGGAGCCAAAGACTTCCACAGGGAACAGTAAATCAACCCCAAATAGCAAAACGTGATTGAAAAGATAGAGTAGGGCATCCCGATGACTACTACCCCAGAAAAGATAGAGTAGGGCAAGATTATAGAAGTCCGTTGACTGTCTGGTTTAATTTCTTTCATTCCATGCATGCGTTCAGCAAAACAGCGCTTCTGTTTACAATGCTAGTCTCCAGGTATACAAGCCAAGGAGCAGGCTGTACATTGGTGAACGCATCACACACAGTCCCAGCTCTAGTGGAACTTCAAGGGAATCGATACACAGGTTTTGAAAAGATCCCTGAAGCCTAAAAGGATTCTTTGAAAGAACAATAACAGAAAGGCCTAATCCAGATTAGATGGTCAAGATCATTCTTTCTGAGAAAATAACAATTAAATGGAGCCAGGAGGGGTGGATAAGAGTTGCCTCAGGGAAATGCGCACTTCTTAGGTGGTGGGTAGGGCCTAATAAAAATTTTTTAGTAAGAGCGTAGTAATGAAAGGCAGTTTTAGATGGTCTGCAAAATCAGAAACCATAGTCTTTTTATACCTGGTTTTTATCTAACAATTGTATAATTAGTCCTAAAAGTTTGGATTTGAAGTCTGACAATCCTGGGTTTGAATCTTAGCTGTCATTTACTGCCTGGATGGACGTAGACAAGAAACTTTCCTCATTTTTAAAATGGGGTTAAAATTTCTACTTTTTAAGATTATTGTGCAGATTAAATGAAATAGTGTATTTAAAACCTAACATAAAATGTTGCATACAACAAACAGTAAACAGTAGTAATTTGTGTAGGTGTTTTTTATATAAGGTCAGTAATATAATTTCAGTGATACACAAAGGCAGTTCCTTTAGATTTGCTAATTTTCCTTTTTGGTTGTTCTGGAAAAAAATTCCAGATTGAGAAGAAACAAAAATAAAATACCTATCAGATTTAAAAGATTTGTCCTGAGTCCTTGGGCTGTTTTTAGTCACTCCACCTTTCAAGATTTGGTTTTAGTTTTGGGGGACTGTCCTTCCCTCCCAAAGGGAAGCTGGTTAATACAGGCTCTGGCACAAATAATGCCCCTTTCTTATTACAAAATCATAAGCATGTAATTCTGTAACAAAACAATATCACACTCAAGCACATCATATGACATTTTAGGTAAAATGTTTAAATTGCTGTTCATCTGGAGGGAGACATTCATATTCCCTGTCAACCACAGGGAACTGAACCATATCTGAACTCAAGCAGGCATTACTTCTGCCAGACCCTGGATTTTGTGAATAATAAGTGGGCCTATTCTAGTTGATTGATGTTTCTGAAAAACGCAGAGGAGAAACTGTCTAAACATGAGGAACAAAGTCAGTATCAGTGTTAGGTAGACCTTGAACTTCATCTGGAAGCCAGTGAAACCCCATTGTGAAGTGAAGCACTCAAGATGTACTCTGTTGTATGTCATCTTTTGAAATAAATGTGTCAGGTCATTCCATGTTGCTGTTCCTTTGGAGCATCCTTCAAAGGTAACCTAAAAACAGCATTGTGGTATCTCAAAAAAGATTAGAACTTCATTATTGTCCCAGGTCTTCATGACTTTAAAAATCCTATGACCTTGGTAATGCAGGTATTTACTTTCATATCCTTATAAGTACCAGGAATCTCAATTTCCAGAAACCTAAAAATATAAAATGAAATTTGATGGTAGTGAAAATCTCTGAGAGGGAGAAATCGATGTGAGAGAGAAACAGCAATTGGTCGCTTCACACATGTGCCCTGACTAGGGATTGAACCGTACGTAACCGTTTGGTGTACAGAATGACGCTCCAGCCAGCTGGGACAGCACTGACCAGCTGAGCCCCCAGGCCAAGGCAAAACTAAGAAATTTCTAGGACTATTTCATAAGGAAGTAACTGGAGATGTATTCAGTATTCATAGCACATTCACTGCAACCATGAAAAATATATGAATTAATTAGTTGGAAAATGGTTACTATGAATTATGTTCTTAAAAGGATTATAGAGAAGTATGTACAATATAATCCCAATTCTATAAAGTACTTAGAAAAAAAGGATGCATACCCAAATGTAACAGTGGTAGAGGATGACAAGTGACTTTTAGTTTGTTTTTTCCAAGTTTCCCAACTTTTTTTGAGTATAAAGTTAGAATTTAAATACCAGAAATCTAGAAGGAATTGATCTAAATCCTACTCATCTTCACTGATGTCTTTATCTTCACTGTGGCTTCATGGGTGTGAAGCTAAGTATTATAAAGTCCCAATTTTTAATTTAGCCACTGGCAAAATGACCTTGGGTGATCCTGTTGACCTTATTGGACCTCTGTTTTCTCATCTGATAAAATGAAAGACTGAAGGAATGAGGTCCCTTCCAATTTTAAAATGATTCTGGAATCCTAAATTGTCTGAAAAAAGTGGACTATGACCTAAGGGACCAGACATAGACGTCTGAAGTCAAGCACACTGTGATTTGGAAGCTTACTGACCTACCTATCTGTCTGAAGCACTTGTTATATTTTTAGGAAGTAGCAAAGCACTATATCTTTAGGGTCAAATAACTTGATAAAAGCTTAGCTTAACATTCTTTGCCTCACTTTCTCAGTATCTGTCAAGCAAGGGACTTTTCAGTTTGACCTCAGGCTCTTAACTGAAGTAATGGTAATATACTTCATCTTTGTCTGGCACTTCATAGCTTACCACATTTTTTACAAAGTATTATTTGTTTTTTATAACAGACAGGGAAGGCATTATTACTCTTGTGTTTCAAATGAGGATACTGATGACAAATGACTTGACCAATTCACACTGACTGTCAGTGGCAGAATGGAGACTAGCTGGAACCCTGGACCTCAGAAGATCGATTGCTTTTGTCTCCACACTTACTGCCTTTTAATTTTTGTTGGCTTTTTTTTTTTAATTTCCTAGTGCTTCTCATTCTCTGATAAAGCTGTTTTCATTCTTACATGAGAATAGCAGCCAGGCTTCTCAGTCTTAAAATTTGAAAGTCGCATGAGACCCAGCAGCCCATTGCCTTTATTTAGAGACCTGGTACAATTGCACATTTTAGAAATGAGGAAAATGAGATCTGCAGACACCAGGTGACATGATCTGAGCCCTAGCACATTAACAGAGCTAGGGCTCAGACCCACTGCATCAGAAGAAAATCAGAGGTAGTTCTTTTGCAGAATCAAGAAGCAATGTTCTTTGAAAATTATTTATTTGAATATTATCACCAAAGTGTAAGGATAATCAGCCTTTCAGTAGCAGTTATTGAGTACCTACTGTATCCATGGCATTTTTGGTTTTTCATTTGGTTAGAAGAATAGAAGCAGGATGGTGTGCGTGTGTGCAGATAACTGCTTTGTCATTTAGGTACACTTAGTTGGGCATTTTATTTTGGGTATAAACATGGAGCAAACTAGGTTTTTACATTGTGAATTTAAGTTAAAATATCTATTCCCCCCCCCCCAAAACAGACTATACCCAGAAGCTAGGATACTTTTATTTTTGTTACTCCAACATTGATATTGTTGACTCTTGCAGTTCTTTGCAGTGTTGTAAGTGGTTTTTAGACCTCAGAGAACAAACTCTGTTGAAATAATGGCATTGAGGGTTTTTTGTTTTTAACTGTAATTCTAGTTGTTTTCTTAAATGTTCTACTTTATGTAGTAAAACCCTAACACCAGGAAATACCAGAGATTCCAACATACTGGTATATTAGTCAGGTATAGTCCTCCTGTGAGGATAAAAAAATTTTAAATTTTAAAAGGTTTAAAGGGTTATAAAGAAGAAAAGGAAAGCTGGTCCACAATCTCAATGACAAAATAACTTTTATTGATCATTTGTTTCTGTTCCACATACATATATTAGCAGACAAATATATTTAACATTAAAAAAATAGAAATAATACCTGTAAGTGATTAGAAAATTTAAACTATAAAAATGAAATCCTTTAGCACTCCGAAAGTTTCTTGTTATCCTTCCAAGAAAATTTTTAATGCATTTTTATATCTTTAAAAAAAAATTATACCAAAGGCTTTGCAGTGTACGCTGTATTTGTCATTTTGCTCTTGTTTGTTCGTTTGTTTGTTTCATAGATTCTAGCTCTCGTTCCATCCCAGCATGTGCAGGTCCATCTTATTTTTTTATACCTCTTAGCACATGGATAAGCCATCTATATTTTACCACTCTTATATTGATACATATTTAGATTCACTCCAGTTTGGTTGCAGTATTGCAGTCAACATTCTATTTATATATTTTGGCATAGGATAATTTTTGAGCAGTGGAATCACTGAGTCAAAGACTGTGTCCTCAGAATTTGAAATGACATTTTAAAATTTTAATCAAAAGATTAGACCAATTTTTAGTCCTGCCAACAGGGAAACAGGGAGCACAGTACTGTTGTCATATTAAAAAACTGGTGGGTTTTTTAAGTTTCTGTCAATCCAATATGTGAGCTAGATAATTTTAGGAAAGGGAACTATGTGGATTTTTAAAAATATTCTGTAGGATTGAAAATTGTGAAAAGGTAGTATTCTTATCTTTGTTTTTTATGTTTTACATATTAAGAGATGAAATTGGCCTGATCCCCTGTCCTGAAGCCAGGTATAACCGGAGTCCCATAGTCCTGGTTGAAAACAAACTTGGCGTGGAAAGCTGGTGTGTCAAGTTCCTTTTACCATATGTCCACAACAAGCTCATTTTGTACAGAACAAGAAAGCAATGGCTGAACAAAGATGGTAAGTATGACCTCTGTCTTCCTCCTTTGTTCGTTGGAAGCAGCATGGAATATAGTGGGAAGAACCCTCTCTGGCTGTGGGCATTCCTGCATTCTAGTTCTGGCTCTTCATTGCCAGGTGCTTAACCTCACCAAGTGAGGAGTTGGGAATCATAAGTAGTTTTTAGATTTTCCACCCGCAGTGATTCTGTGGAAGGTGCCTCAAGCACGGTGCCAGGCTACCAACTGCAACCTCAGTAATAAATCAGAGCATTTCTGATTTTATCTTTTTTATATATAGGGGTCATTTATAAAATTTTATTTGAAGAACATATCTTATGGCTGAAAAAGTTTGAAAATTATTGTGGAGGACTGTAGTTGCTATAAGCTCAGATTCTCTGGTTGCTAATCCTTTAGTACTTTATAAGCAGCAGAGTTCATTTTAGTGGCAGTCCAAATGAGGTAATGCAGGCATGATGGTGGAGGTTATACTGTGAACTAACTCAGTGATTTATGAAGGTGCCGTCACACTATGAAGCCCAGTTGAGCTCTGGCCCTCTCTGTCCTGTTCCTATGCAGACATGAGCAGAAGAAAACCACCCCAGCATTTGCTTCTTCCCCTCTTGGCTACAGCAGACAATCCCCACTCCTCCCACCCCTTCTCTGCACTTACTTTCCACGCTGTAGGTGATATTAAGCCTCCATAGACACGAATTCTGTTTATCTTTCAGTAAAAGGGACATCTGAAGGCTCACTTTTTTGGAGAGTGCTCATCCAAGACAATGTTCTCAAATGTTTTTGTAAAGCTCCTACCCCTTCCCACAGGTAGCGGTACCTTTAAAAGTGCTCACTATGCCTGGTGGCTCATTTTGAATAAGAACTCTGTGTCCTAGGGAATTTTAATTAGCAGTGATAGCCATTACCAAGGGCCTACTCAGACATTGATCTAAGTAATGTAGGGGAAGAAAAAAATAATACACGTTCTCTTTACTCAAGAAGCTTACAAGTGAGTGAAAAACAGTGTCTTTGTGGAGTGTTAACCAAGGTGTGACAGCCATTTCCTTATATTCCTTTCAGCGTTGTCCTTAAGATACTGTCATAATAGATTAATAGCACTCTTCCCTGTTTAGACCAGTAGAAAAAAAGGAGTCTGATTAAAGATTTACTGTGTGAAATAATTTCTGTTTTGTGTGTTTTTACTCATATGAGAGGGGACCCCCCAAAAACTGGAATTATCTTCTGGAGGGCAGGCCCCTTGTAGTACAGACTTCCCCTGCTAGTTGAGAGTTCTAGGAACCTATCTGTATCAGTGTACCAGCTGGCATTGTTGCGAGAGGCTGTGTTTAGCTTCAGTGAATTTTTTAGAAGACTCCTTCGGTGTGTTTGCTCACTTTATGATGGGTGAGCTACGAGTGCACCTGCTCACACTGTGCTGTGTTCAGCATTTTTTCACCAAAAACGGTATGACCCCTATGCCCCACATTCCATATTCACCCAATCTCGCCCCTCGTGACTTTTTTTTTGTTACTCTGGGTGAAGAAAGTCCTTAAAGGGAAACATTTTGCCAGTATGGAAAGAGGTGAAACAAAAACAACAGAAGCACTAAAAAGCATCAAAATCAACAAGTTCCAAAAAACTGTTTCGAGCAGTGGAAAAAAATATCTCAATGCCTATATTGCACAGGTGGCATATACAAGGCCCACAGGCTGAATCTGGCCCTCCACCGTATTTTATCTGGCCCTGAACCTTGTTTACCCAGTGGCAGTGCCGAGCTCTTGCTTAACTGTTAAGAAGTAGTTACATTTATACAGTCGTAAAATTACATTCGGCCCTTTGAAGCAATCGATCACGAGGCTGCTGTGGTCCCCAGTGAAAATGAGTTTGACATCCCTGGTGTATTGCATCAATTGGAAAGTACTTTGAAGGTGAATGAAGTTTAAACATGTAAGAATAAATACACAATTTTTAATAAGTTCCCAAGTTTTGGAGGTCTGCCTGGTATAGTCCTCTGAAATACATATCTATATAATCTTGTTAAAAGGCTATACTAAGTTTATGGTATCAACTTAAAGGTAAAAAGGTATTTGCCTATCATTAGACCCACTTTCCCTCATTCCATCACTCTCATGGTAGGTTTCAGTAACATTAAGGTGCAAAGACACAGCCTATGAATCTGTAAGTTTTTGTTTTTTGTTTTTTTTCAAAACAGCTGAAATTGTGTTCTGGCACACAGAAATGTATAATTGAGTCAATACATAACTAACTCAGTGAGGGTGATAGAATGATGGTTTTTGTAGAAAAGAAATTTTAAAATCTCAAGGGCTATTTTTGTTTCAGATCATTATTTTTTGCCTCTTTGTGTATGCCAGCTCACCCCGCCTTATTGTAGCCTCCCAGGTCCTCTTCATTCCCCTGTTTCTTGTATTTCTGGACACTGCACAGTTGGCTTTGCTGAGTCTACTCATTGCGTGCGTAGTCTTAGTTCCGACAGGCCCAGAAGGACCCTGGGCAGAAGACAACATGTGTAAATGCGCTCACAGGCATACCCGGCATCTGAACTCGGAATTCCAATGCAACTGGACGTGTGTGCAGAAGCAGCTTGATTCTGTCCTGACCTACATCCTCATGGAAGCCGTTCTCAGTTTCACTTTTTTGGCGCATGGGGACAGTGCAGTTCAGTGTGGTGTCACCTATAATTCACACTGTATATCATATTATCAGTAGAAATATGGAAATGAGTTTCTGATTTGAAAGAAAATGATACCTGAAAATCCTGGCTAACATAAGAGTATTCTTCCAAACCTGTGAACTAAAGCAATTAGAACAGAGAGATAAATCTTATTAAGAAAAAAAGTAAAAATTTTCAGAAAAAGCAGTTTTTTATGAAAATGCTATACCTTTAAAGTTGTTTTTGTAGACAATATACGTATAAGAAGAGACAAGTGAAGAAACCTAGCAATTTAAAAGCAATTTCAGGAATACCAGTGTGTGATTGATCATGCCCAAGCCCTAGGCTTCCCCTAACAGCATATCCTGAAACTGAAAGTGTCCATTATTCTTAGGATTGTTTTTTTTTCTTTTTACTCAAACTGAATTCATGCTGTCATTAATGTGCTGAATTCCTTAGATGTTTGGAAAGCATCTCTATTAGTCAGGGTTCTCCAGAGAAACAACCAGCAGAAAATTATATGTATAAAAGGAGATTTATTATGACAAATTGGGTTGCATGATTATGGAGGCTAAGGAGTCCCACAGTCTGCTTTCTGCAAGCAGGGAACTCGGGAAAACTGATGATGTAATTCAGCTTGAGTCTGAAGGCCTGAGAACCAGGGAGCCAGTGATTTATCCCACTCCAGAGGCTGGAGGAGATGAGGTGTCCCGACTCAAGTGCACAACAGGGAGCAAAAAAGGGGGTTGAATTCCTCCTTCCTCTTCATGTCCTGTTTAGGCCCTTGACGGACTGGGTGATGCTTACCTGAGTTGGAGGAGGCAGTCTGCTGAGTCTACCAATGCTAATCCCACAGACATGCTCAGAAGTAACGTTAGGTAACATTCAATCTGGGTACCTGCAGCCAGTCAAGTTGAACCATGGTTTCACTAAAATTAACCATCACAGCATCTCTGTTTAATTGCTTAGAGACTTTTTTTTTTAAGTCTGATGTGGTAATAGCCATGTTTGGTTTGGGAGAAGAATACTATAATTCTGATTTGTGAGAAATCCATGACAAAAATAAAAGCAAGAAAGAAGTGCACAGCATGCGAATCCTGACCGAGCGCAGCTCTGTCCCACACTTCGTCTCCAAGTCCGCCATTCTGTCGTCATCTTGTGCTCTTCCCTCTTTCTCACAGCCTCTATTCCATTATTGTTCTGTTTCTTTAAAAGCTGTCTTCTGTTCAATTCTTCTCATCTGGACAAATGTCTTTAACTCATAGCTGGTCTACCCCATTTTCAGTCTTTTCTGTAATCCATGTCCATCATGCCACTAGCCAGTGCTCTCAAATGCCACTTCCCTTTACATAGCTTGAGAGATGCTTTTTCTGAAATAGATAATCTCCTCATCGTATTTCACGATGCCACATTGTCAGTAGAGTTGGCGTGGTGATCAAGGGCCTTCACAGTCGGTCCCCAGCCCGCATTACCAGTCTTTTCCTCTACTTCAGATTCAGTACCAGAGGTTGTAGATTCTCAGCCCTCAGATTAAAGCTAACACACAAATGTATTTTGTTTTGGCTTGTATAATGCTTTTTAAATTGTTTTTAATTCGTTGGGTAAACATTTAAAAGTAGGATCAACTTTTAAAATTAGCATAGAAATCTGGATTCTGTCTCCACTTGAAAAATCAGAAGCCTTGGGTACAGAGCACCAATTAGCTGGGGCTCACAGCCTCTGCTCTTCTTGACGAGGCCAGCTTGTTCCAGTTTACTGCGGCCTCCTCATGTCTTTCAGACACTAAAGCAGTGTCAGTTGCTAGTTACCAGGTTTGCTTTGATACATTTTGACACTCATTTGCATCCTGAAATCATTTGAGTTTTGCAGCCATTTGATATACCATTCAGCTACAACATTCTGTGTTACGTGCTTGGACTTTGCTGTGTATTTTCTGCCTTACTTCCATGGCCTTGCTGAGGCCAGGTTCATGTTCTAAGTTGTCACTATTGCTGTGATGCCAGCACAAACAAACCAACACCCACACGCCCATAAAGCCCTTTGCTCCAGAAAACAGTAATTCTCTGCTCGCCTATGGGAGTATGCAGTCCTTTATTCAGACTGCTTGCGTAGTACCAGTTATCACACTTTATTGAAGTTGATTATTTATTTGTTTGTTTATTATTATTCTGTTATAGTTGCCCCAATTTTCCCCCATTGCTCTCCCCTGCCCTGCCCACGCCCCTGTTCCCACAGTCAATCCCCACCCTGTTGTCCATGGGTCATTTATACATGTTCTTTGACTAGACCCTTCCCCTTCTTGCCCCCACTTATCCCTCTCCCTGCTTCCATTTAGTCATTGTCAGTCTGTTCCT